GCATGAGCGTCGCGAGCGTGGGACTGAGGAGCGACGCGAAAGCTTAACGATTTGAAAGATAGTGAGCTCCATGACTCGAGACGCGGAGTCGTCCCGCAAGGTTTTGAGTCCAATTGCCATCAGGCTTACAGTGGCAACCCCAGGTGGCCAGAGAAGCGTGTCGTGCCGAATCTGGTTCCGATTTGGGCGCATTGTGTACAATTATTCTCGGTCAACAAGCCTATAACGATCTGCCGACGTCTCCATCCACTTTCTGGACAGATTCTCTGGGCATAACAAACCTAGCATAGGACGAAAACGTCGATCTCGCTGCACCGCTGCCTGTGCGGCTGTGCTACAGGCGCTTGATCTGACCTTGAATCCAGGTAGGCAGACGCCCGGTAGGCGCGCGAGGAAATGAGCGAGCGACAAGAATTGAACACGCCTATAAGCACACAAAAAGCTATTTGCCGTTCGTCGTCTTTTTCCGTCTGTCCCCGTCTGTTCGCACACTTTCGCTTCGAATAATAATGAATCACATGTATTGCACCGCACACAAAAAGATACAATTGAGCCCAAATCGAACAGGAAACATCCACCACACCCCCGCGCCAGCACCGCGCCGTCGCAGCCGCCCCACGTCCCGCCCATGCATCCGACGCCGCCTGGGGGCGTCCCCTGACCTCTGCACGGCGTGCGGAGCACTGCGATGGTTCTGTCATCGCACGCGTGCCAACGTGCTGTGCTTTTTCGCTCTGGTGCGCACAATGTCAGCTCACGAAAAATGCGCACATACAGCTGACGGCGCACCTGGGGACCCGACTACGCCCTCCGGACACTGCTCTAGACACGTTTCAATCGTCCTGTGACTAATGTCACGATGTGGGCTAGCTACAGATAGAAGAGATGGGGATAGGACGTACAGCTGCGCTCGGACCTCCCCTCTTCCTGCTAGACGAGGCCGTCAGGTCACCGTTGTTCCGCACATATTTCTAAACACAATTTATGTCAGCGTACCAACCTGTTCATAACATAGTGAGCACATACGTTACGCAAGTTCTGAGTCGGAATGGCCTCCTTGTAATACTTGTCGAACTCGGACTCAGTGCCCTCGGGGTGCCGAGACTTCCAGATTCTTGCACACTGGTCTCTGCAGGGATGGATCAGATCAAGGTTAGCTCCAGGGCTGGACACCTCACTTAGGTTTTGTTTTCGAGGGCGTGGGAGGCCAAACACGAGGATTAATGTCCGATTTTGATGGCTTCGTCGACGTTATCTGGCGACCACGGCCGAGGGCGACGTCCGGGTCCGGAGACGGAGAGCGAGAGTTGGGCAGGCTGAGCGGCGCCGTGCCCGACGTTGGCCACATGCCAGCGCTGACAAGGCATGACAATCAACAAAGAGATAATGTCAATGGGTCGGAGGTACTCACAGGGGATTTGGTATCTTGGGGGCAAAGCGGGTGACAGGTGAGTGAATCGGGGCAGGGCGCAGTGGTGATGACACGTACATGCAGGTGAGAGTTGACGGGGAGACCACTATTCCCGTCTCCGCTGTCCGCGCCGCTCGGGACTGTAGCAGAGTTTTGCTCTGGGGCGTATGAGACGCTGCGGCTGTGGGTGGGCGAAGTGGGGGAATGTGGCTGATTATTCGGGGCCGAGCGAGAGTTGTGTATCGTAGCACACGCATCAGCCAGGACGTCGAGGACCGACGGAGTGGCGGAGTCACCCAGCTCGGTGCGTGACATGGGAATGGGAGTGCTGCCGCCTGAGAGATGCTCGGAATGCGTGCAGGGACGCCTGGGCGTGGGTTGGACGATAGGTCTCTCCGAAGCTGTTACATTGTTGGGGAGCTCGGGCTCCGCGATGCCATGGGATGGCAGGCTCTGGATGAAGGCATAGTGAGTTCGTACGGAATGTTCGAACGGGCACCAGAATCTCACACTTGGAATGTTCGCCTCTGCGGCAATCACACGAGATGGTCCAATCTGGATGAAAACATCGTCAGAATCCATCAATACGACTCGATGGGCTTACTGATGTGGTGTCGCAGGGCGCGGAGATGTGGTAAATCGCGTCGTTTAGGTCTACGGGACGTGGGCTGTCCCAAGGGGCATCTCCGTCGGATTCAACTAAGGATGGATTCTCAGCGGGATGGGAGGACATGCTAGAGTCATCATGTACTCACCACGAGCGCGTTTGCGACTTTTCTTGCTAGCCCTCTTCTTCACTAATTTGCTCTTCCTTCGGGCGATTGCTGCAAACTGCGAAAATACGTCAATGGCGATCTGCTCCACCTTCCAGTCGAAATCGTTGAGCTGAAGCTCCGGATAGCGTGCATACATATGCGCATAGAGCGCGGTCTTCATTTGGAGCGTGGCACCCTCCTTCCAGGAGTCTGGGAGGTCGGTGCGACCTCGCAGCCAATCGCGCATTGCTGCACGAATTGCCACAGCCCTGTCTCCGTCGATGGGGTTGCCATGAACGTCGATGACAAATTGCATCTTGACATTTTCATTGGACTGTTTGAGGCGACCAGGACCCTGGCGCCCCTTAATGGCCCCAGGTACGGTGAAATCAGCTGACTTCGTCCATGTCTCATACTTTCGTTTCGTCCAAAACTTTGCCTGTTATCAAGCACAGTATGTGAGTGCGATATTTCATTCAGAAAAGATGCTCACAGCATGTGGGTAATCCTGTTCACGGCGCGGAAGGACAAGGATCTGTCCATTGGCGCCATGCTCAGGGAAATATGCCGTGCGATCGACAGGTGGCCCAGATGAAGTTGACCAGCCTGTGTATATGCGCATATATGTGGTGAGTTTGTTGTGCCAGGGATAGCATGTCGACTCACTAGGAACGTCTGAGCTGGTCAGCGCTCCAGGGTGCGAACGTTGGCCAGGGGCCGCTCCGAGCGCAAGGAGCGGATGGGCAATCCGGCCTGTGGGAGGCATTGCCTGTATGCTAGTGGGCGGGCAATCCTCAGCTTCGTTAGTGCGGCCACATAAACACCGCGTAAAATAACCTCTGGCTGGTTCTTCGAGGAGATGTTAGTCATCGGCTCAGATACAGTGGCATTGCAAACATAGAGATATACGCACAGTAGGCCATGATTGCGTAGCATGGCTTTGAGGCGAGCGTTTTCGGCTCGGGTCTGAGCCAAATCGGATGGGCCAGGCAACTGTTCGCTTGGAGGATTCTAGGGGGAAACGCACAAGAGCGCTACATGCAGGCGCCGTATGCTTCGCTCGCCGACGTACCTCACACGGTTCATCCGGTGACATATCTCGCAAGACAGTACGCTCTCCAAATAATGAGCTTAAGCCCTCCAAAAAATAGATACTCAGAAACAATGCGCAAGAGAAGAAGAAGTTGTGCGTACTGGAGAGAATGGCGTGTAGGATGTACGGTCATCGCTATAAATCGACCCTGGCAAGGAGTAAGAGCGGGAGGATGCGCTCGGCGTCGAGCTCTGGTACATTGCTGGGGAGTAAAAACAGAGACAAGAGAGAGTGGGGGGCCAAATGGTGGTAGAAGAGAGTGGGTGGGTGGGGCTCGAGACGCGTCGAAGAGAACGCGTCAGGTCATGTGACCGTAACAGGACCACCAAAAAAGGCAAGGGACAAGACTTTACCGTATGTTGTCCTCACAACGTCGTGTAATCTCTCCTCCGTGCGGTGAGTATGTCACCCACAGTACCACTCCCCGAGCCACTACTTCTGGCCTGGGGGCTGCAACGAAAACTCAACATGCATCCTGAGGGCGACGAGAACAATATTGTCACAAAACTACTTGCCATGGCTACCACGACCGCTCGCCTTGCATGCTATCTAGCAGAAGACCGTGCCCCAAGAATTGACAAATATTGCGTAGTACAAGACGAATTCGCGAAAGGCACTGTAAGCGTGCTGAATGCATTCAAGGAGGTCTTTGACAACTTAGAAGATAGCCCGGAGCATGCAAGCGCGGACGATGGTCTCGGAGATCCCCAAGTGGACAGCGCCCAGGAGGCCGCCCGCACCAGCGGCTCTCCCGCGCTCACCGTAGAGGAGCTCTCTCAAGCTGTCCGCACTCGTCTGGAGCCTTTGCTGGTCGAAACTCTGGCTACCCCTCTCACTGATGCACTCACCCAGCCTCTCCTGTCTGCTCTCCAAGAACCTCTCGTGGAAAGGCTTTCTGGTTCTCTGCAGGCAGCCCTTGCTGCGGACAAAAATTTCATTCTTGATCTCGCTGTGGCCTTGCGTGGTCCCTTGACTGAGCAGTTGCGTGGCCCCCTCTCGCAGTCCACTCAGGATGAACAATCTGGATGGCCCTCGACTACTGGCCCTGCTTCGAGGGCTCCATCTCAGCGGGGCTCTACCAGTACACTTGGCCCGCCGCCGTCCTTGGGAGCTTCAAAGGCCCTGGATCCCATTGCGACGTCTTCCTCAGGGTTCCAGATGAAACGAGAGGACACCCGCCGCGAGTTAGGCAAGCCCCAGAAGAAGCGCATGCTTCCCCCCTCATGGTATGAGTAGGCCCCCCCTTAGGTGAGTGCGTGTTGTCAATCGCCATCCAATGCTGCATTAATATCCTCAGGCCAGCTGATTGAGCCTGCGCATGTACGGGGGAAGCATCCGCATGGTGGACATAGACAAGATGAACTGAGCCGAGTCACGAGGACAGGAGTCGAGGAGGGAGAGTAGCAGACGTCGCGACACAATCCTTTATTCAAGTTGGTTGCACTTGCTTTACTCTTGCTGCCTGTCCGTGATGCTTGCGAATCATAAGACGGCTAAGGCCTACTTGTACCCTGTGTCACATTGAGGGAATCATCCGTGCGATGCAAATGGACTCTGACATCCTAGATCCTGAGGATCTGCTGCTCTCTACTACTCCTACGAGGACGAACAGCACCAATATGTGAGAAGCATACTGCATTGGAATGAATACATGCCGGTGTGGATTTGGGTGGGGAACCTAGAGAGAATGCTAGCCTACAATGTCCAGTCCGTCAACGTCTGCAGTGATATCTTCGACCCGTCCTGCTATGTTCGCAACGTCTAAACCGGGCTTCTCCACGACAAAAAACCGGTCTCTGTAAAGTGTGTCGGCATCGGAGGTGGTAGCCTCCTCGGACGTCATTGGGAGAGGTACCATCGCAACTACAGAGACGATTTGTTTGACAAAAATCACCGCCCGAGACGTTTCACCAAGATGGCTGCAGGCGAGCAGAGTCCCACGAGAGAACTCATATATGTCTGGATCTGGTGGGGTGAAGTATGCGAGCATGGCCATTGTCTCGACGTGGTCGTGTATCTTCAAACGGAAGAAATACTGAACCTCAGCGAACGTGTTATCTCGCAGCTGACAAAAGCAGGTCAACATGAATGGGCAAAAGATGGGGATTAGTATGACGGTGGTGCTCACCTTCACCATACGAGCACGGCGCGGCTTGCGTCGTCGTGCTTCCAGGGCACACTCCTTCCAGGCACAACGGGCCACCTGCCCGTTCGGAAGTCGCAAGCGTGCCCAGCGCCGAACGGGAGCTGACCAGTCGGGGTCGCGCAGGGTCACCCCCTCATTGCGGAGAAAGTCGCGCAGAGCGGCAGCTTCAACAGAGGGGATGACTCGTTGGATGGAGTCCCTGGCAGGCAGCAAGACGTATCCGTCTCCCAGAATTTCGGCGTATTGGGGGAAAATGTCGTCCGGTTCAGCTAGGGATGGGATCATGGCTTTGAGAGCATTGACCTGACAACGACGCAAAGCTCGCTCTGAAACGTTAGCATACGGGGTGACATGCTGCTTGATCTCGCGCGTAATATTACCAATAAAGTTCTCCAGGGTCCATTGGGAATGCAGCGCCCCAGGGCCAATGCGGCTAGCCTCAGGTACAATATGAGCCAGGGAATGAAGGCTGGGGCGGACAAAGTGAAGGCGCTCTCGGCGTCGTTGGTAGTACAGTCTCTCATACTCCTCGATGTAGAGAACGAAAGACCGGTGGGCCGCAGGGAGGTCTGTTCTGGGACGAAACGNTATTGCAAGACGATACGG